GGTCTTCATGTAAAACTTAAAGACGTCAGTCTGATAATCTACGTCTCTGGTTATGTTTTCTTTCTCTCTCTCTCTCTCTCTCTCTCTGCAAGTTTCAGTCAAAAGTCATTTAAAAATATTCTCTTCACACTGTATTTTTTCTTTTTGAATCTTGCCTTCCACTGAAGGTTCAGGGACAAAATGATTCACTTTTCTTTGTATTTTGTAAAAATGATAAACTTGTCCTTATTTTGCCCACTCAACTTTTCTCATATAGAATTTATCTTGTATAAACAGACAGATATCACTGCTATTCCCTTAGGTAAAATTCACAATATTCTTTATTATTTTGAGGGAAAAGGAAGAGAAATAAAAAGATATATACATACATAATCTTTATATATACCTTTATATATTATATATACCTTTATATATATCTTAGATTTATATAGTTTGAGAGATATGTATAAATTCATATTTTATATAAAGGTATATATATCAGTAGAGTTTTAGATTATTATGAGCAATTATTTACGATGAAGCTAACTGTAGGCTTCTCAAAGGCAACAGTTAAACTTGTCTGATTTAATGCTAATAAATCTAATATTTTATACTGTTTTACATGCAAATAACAGATGTGAATATGCACATGCATTTTATTTTTGAGTACAATATGATCATTTGTTCTTAGCATTCTCTTTTTTTCCAGAGTTGTATTTCTCTCTAGAAGACAATTCTGCCCGCATAGGGGTCTTCTGAAAATAGGAGGAATAATGCAACAGAATAACTAAGAGTACTGCTTAGCCAAAATTTGACAAAAGGATATTTGACAAAAGATTACAGAAACCACACAGAGACAACATACTTACAGGTATGTCAAACAAATTGTGACTGAGGATTGCTGTGCCGTCAGTCACCTAAGGCAGCTACTCTCTCTGTTACCTTCTCACTCTTTCTTGGACCACAGGGACTTAAGTATCTGCCTCTTTCTCTATGTTGCTCCATTCTTTTTCTGCACATCAGTCTATTTATACATTTGTCTGCGTCAAAATGGCAAGCTCAGTCAGAGTCCATCCAACCACTTGGCCCTTTAGTTAGATTATGTTTTACCAACTGAGTACAGCTGGGATTTCTCCTAACTTAAATTCTTGAGGAAGTATTTTAATTGGGTGCTGCCTAGACAATAGATTGCCTGGTCTTGGATCAAGTGTCCACTATTTATCCAATCAATCATAGTAATACTGCAGACAACATGTGCATTTGAGACTGTTTTTTACAGAGTTGTGGGAAGGGCAGGCACATTTACAGGCTAAAAGAAATAATAGGAACACTTATAAGGAGGTAAGTGGTTTTGAGAGATTGATTTTTTGACAGACCTCAAATCAACCTTCTGATTTAATCTATAAGTAAGAGTCAGCTATGTGTATTAAGAAAAATACCTCAGCATATTTTTAATCTATTCAGCCCTCTGACATTTTGCTTCATTAAAAGCAATTGTCTAAGTATCTTCTTTGCTTTCTCCCAATTCAATTCCCAGTTTACTTTCTCCCCTATAGATACCCCTGCAGCCCTTTGGGCTACAATTGGGCATCTACCAGCAGTGCTCACTGTTTACTCTTCTAGTGTCTCAGAGAGGTTATTCTGCTGTAACTCAAGATTTTAGACCCAAACTTCAGTATTAGATTCCTTGCTGAGTATTTGGGCCCCCCTTTGAAATGTTATTTGAAAGTTTACCTGACTTATGTGACTCTCCAGTTCCTTTCTAAGAATGGTGTATGGGAACTTTTTACTGGCAAAGGAATTAGTTTCTTCTACTCTGTTTTTTACGTCTAAAAGGTAGGAGATTTGGTCGGGCGCAGTGGCTCACGCCTATAATCCCAGCACTTTCTGAGGCTGAGGTGGGTGGATAGCCTGAGACAAGCCTGGCCAACATAGTGAAACCCCGTCTCTACTAAAAATACCAAAAATTAGCTGGGCATGGTGGCAGGCGCCTGTAATCTTACCTACTTGGGAGGCTGAGGCAGAATTGCTTGAACCCGGGAGGCAGAGGCTGCAGCAAGCCGAGATCGTGCCATTATACTCCAGCCTGGGCAACAAGAGTGAAACTCCATCTCAAAAAATGGAGGAGATTTGTTATTTTCAGAAACACGAGCAAAAAGCAAATTAGCATTGAGACAGGTAGGAAGCAAACAGGACCATTAAGCTGAGAAATCTAGGTCAGCAAAGTCATCTTTTTGGAAGGGCGTCTTAACAGGGAGCACATCTTTTCAGGCTAAAGATATTAGTTAATTGCACTTATAAATTCCTCATGATCCAATTTTTGACATTTGATCTTGGCTACTTTTGAGGACAGTATAGGACCCTTGTTTGAGACGCAGAGAAACCACTTTTGAAAATGGTAATTCAGGCTTCTTGATGGATTCACCATTGGTCTTTCTAGCCAAGGAGGGTTTAATAAAAGTCAAACTGAGCCACTTAATAGCAAAGCACTGATGCTCTTCCTCTTCTGCCCATGATCTACACTGTGACATGGATGTTGTATTACATTCTAATTTCTACACACTGAACAGCCATTCAGTTGCCCAGCAGGCTAAATGGGTCACTTTATCAGCCTGCAAAGTCAGTACAAACCAAATTGCTTATGGAAGTTTCAGACTTCAGCCATCCTGCATAAAGTGATTTAAACTGGAGCCAGAAGGCGAAGTCTGAGACTGATATAAGCAATGACGAGACATCCTCATGCCTCAGTTTGTCTTTTTCTACCTGTGCTCAAAAACTTGGCTAGAACAAAGTGAGCTAGCCATGAGGAGGAACATACAGTCAAGTTGCTATGTCACCCTGATGAGCTGTTTGGCCTCTTGGGTTCTCCATTTCTTTGGGAAAATGAAAGTGTTGGGTGAGATGAACAGTTCCTAGCCCTGATGGTGGGTTGCTTGAGTGTATTGTGATTGGTTGGGAAGTGTGTTGGAAGCAATTTGTTACAGATTACATTTAATATAGGTTTGGGAAATGGTTTTGTATTTTAAGAGTAAATTCAAGGTTGTTCCTATAATATTGTCTCTCTTACTTGCTTGCATTAAGGTATGCTTTCATGAGTAAAATAGGAGAGAGGTGAATTAATTTCCTAGGCCTGAAATAACAAAACAATACAAACCAGATGGCTTAAAACACAGACATTCTCTTACAGTTATGCAGGGTAGAAGTTCCGAATCAAGATGCTGGCAGAGTCATCTCCCTCTGAAGTCTCTAGTCTGTGGTTTGATGAATCACGAATCCTAAGTAATAGCAGTAACATCGGTAGTGAGTGAAGAACTCTCTAGATGAGAGTGATTAGTCTCTGTATTGGCTTTTATGGAGACATAGGTGTCTCTTGAAAAATCCGTAAAGCCTTCCAAGTAGTTGAGGACATTATTTCCTCTGACTTTCATACTGTTTTTTTTTGGAGTTCTTCATTTGGCCTTTGGGGCTTAAATCGCCTAGAGCTGTTTAGGTAGTCATTACTTAAATGATCCCAGGCAATGGGGGTGTACCCCATCTTACAGTTTTCTAGACAGGCATTTCCTTTAAGATTCACTCCGATGCTAACAATTCCCACTTCCAGTAGTTTTGCTCTGAATGTGATGTCTAATATGGCAGACGAAATGGATTTTCTTCTATTTGTGCTTAGAGGAGATAGTGAACTGCATTTTAAACCTCGTTAGGAGATTACCAAATTTTCTTTTAAATGTTCAACAAAATTAAATGCAGACTTTTCAACGAGGGCTTGCAGTGGGGCCAGTGGCAGTTATGGGTGTGTAACTGGGTAAGCATGGCAGAGAAGCCAAGAAGCCCAAGTTGGGTTTTTTTCGAAGACCAGGAACTGTCGATTCCTGCCTCCACGGAAACCGGAGCCCAGGGAGGGCAGGTGGGACTTAATGGCTCCAAGATCACGACCTGTTGTCTATCCCGTAGATCCCTTGTGAAGACGTAGTAGAGGCTGCTTGATGAACTAACTGGCCTATTGACGGTTAAGAGTTCTCACGCCAGTTAGAATGGCGATCATTAAAAAATCGGGAGACAACAGATGCTGGAAAGGATGTGGAGAAATAGGAACACTCTTACACAGTTGGTGGGAGTGTAAATTAGTTCAACCATTGTGGAAGACAATGTGGCGATTTCTCAAGGATCTAGAAATAGAAATTCCATTTGACCCAGCAATCCCACTATTGGGTATATACCCAAAGAACTATAAATTGTTCTACTATAAAGACACATGCACACCTATGTTCACTGCAACCCTGTGTACAATAGCAAAGACCTGGAACCAACCCAAATGCCCATCAATGACAGACTGGACGAAGGAAATGTGGTACATATACACCATTAAATACTATGCAGCCATAAAAAACGATGGGTTCGTGTCCTTTGTAGGGACTTGGATGAATCTGGAAACCATCATTCTCAGCAAACTAACCCAAGAACAGAAAGCTAAGCACCGTATTCTCACTCATAGGTGGGTGTTGAATGACGAGAACACGTGGACTCAGGGAGAGGAGCATCACGCACAGAGGACAGTTGGGGGGGTAGGGGAGAGACAATGGGGGATGGGAAGGGGAGGGTGGGGAGGGAGGGGAGGGTGGGGAGGGATAACATGGGGAGAAATGCCAGATATAGTATCCACCTAAAGTAAAATAAATAAATTAAAAAAAAAAAAAGCGTTTCGGTGGGATGAGCCCCGCAGAAAGATGCGCATCTTGCTCCTCGCTGGCCGCTGACCCTCTGCCTGAGTGGCCACGCCCCTGGGTCCCTCCTGCCCAGTGCCTTGGCCACCGGCTTCTCACAGATCACCAACAACCTGTAGTGATGGGGTGGCCCAGCGACACGCTCGTGCCGTCCGCTATCCATGTCACCACAGTAATCAATGTCTCAGTGCGGGCGCTGGACGCCTTCTACAGGGCATTCAGGATACGCAGGCGCTGTGGGCCGCTGCGTGCGTTCGTGTGTGCTTCTCGCGCTTGCGCGACTTGTTAGGCCGCCCAGCTGATCACCTTCGAGGTCTGAGGGTGAGGCGGGGCCGCCCCTTGGCGCCAACTCCCCCGGGGGGAGTAGGAGCTATGTCCCGTCCGAACTCCTATCAGCTGCCTGACAGTGGCTTTGGGGAACCCTGCATCTACTAGGAGTACCAGTGGTTTGGCAAGAATACTGTGCACATGGTCAGCTCCCTGAGGGGTGTGATCCCTGAGGACCATGAGAAGGAGGTCAGTGTAATGGGGAGGCTAACCGTGGGGCAGCCCGGCCCATGGGGTCCCGGGTGCTGGTTGGCTGTTGGTCTTCCACCAAGATCTAAACTTGAGCTTCTATTAATACTTTCATTTATACAGAAACTCACATGATGTCTTCTATAATAGGAAGGAAAAAATGTAGAGTTACTGCAGGTTTTGACTTTATAATCCATATGTCTTTGAAGAGTAAAACTCACTGAATAGAAGATGAAAATAAGTTTCCTACCCTGAGAGTGCCAAGTCATGACCACTAGTGCCAGGCCACTGAGGTGAGGCAGGTGGTGCCCGGTCAGAGGGACCTGCCATCAATACCCAAGCCATGTGGTAGGCCTGGAATCTTATAATTCTACCCAGCCTGTCTACCCTGGAGCAAGTCAGCCAGAATCCTAGCTCATTCTTTGGAACCCAAAGCCACAGAGCAGTAGACACCAGGGCACCTTCAGTATCTCTCACACTGAGTGCCAACCTATAGGATACGTGGCCTTCAAGCAGTTCTCTGAGATCCCAGCTATTCTCAGGCTACCTCTGGTCACCCTTTCTCTCACCTCTTACCAGAGCAGCCCAACTTTGGTTTTCTAGATGGACTTAATCATATGAAAGCGTTAGAAGACAGTATTCCTATACTTGTCTGTTCTTACATTGCTATAAAGAAACACCTGACACTGGGTAATTTATAAAGAAAAAAGGTTTAATTGGCTCACAATTCTTCAGGCTGTGCAGGAAGCATAGTCACTTCTGCTTCTGGGGAGGCCTCAAACAGTTTTTATTCATGGTCGAAGGCAAAGTGGGAGCAGGCATCTTACATGGCAAGAGCAGGAGGAAGAGTGAGAGGGAGAGGTGCTACGCACTTTTAAACAACCAGATCTCACAATAACTCATTATCAGGCGAGTAGCACTGAGGAGATGCTGGTAGCCTAGTCGTAAAAACTCTGCCCCCATGATCCAGTCACCTTCCACCAGGCTCCACCTTTAACACCAGGGATTACAGTTCAACTTGAGATTTGACACAGATCCAGACCATAACAAGTCAACTATATAAAACTTAAAAATAGTGTTTTGACAGGTGGTAAGGTCTCAAGGTGCTTGCAGTTACCCCCTGCCAGCCTTTGAGGAAAAGTGGCCTAAGTCTCCTTGGAGCATGTACCGAGAGAAGAGCAGGCCTGTTGTCCTTTGGGTTTCATTTTGCAGGCCTTGACTTGGAAGGTTGCTGCTGTGGGCTGGGACCCAGCTCTGTCACCTCTGTCACCTCTACTGCATGTGACATGGGGCCTCCTGGAGGCCCAGTGTCCTCACCTGTCAAAGCCCTTCTCTCACAGAGCTGTTGTTAGGATGAAATGATCATTAGCAGTGGGCCTGCAACATGGCACATGCTTAAAGAGCGGTTCTTGTTATTAATGATACTCTTGGGCTCTGCTGGTCCTGGGGAAGCACACCCATCCCCATCCACAGCATTTCCTCCATTTGTGCATATCCCTTTATTTTTATAAAGTGTGCTTCCAAATATCATCCTGTGGGAAGGAGAAAACAAGTTTAAGATCCTTTCAGACCCTATATCAAGGAGGACTAGATTTTGCAGCCTTTTCGGAGTTCTCATTGTGTTTAATCCAAAGGTTTTAAAGCAAGGAGCTCCTGCCAGCTCTCTCTCAAAATGTTTCCTTTAGAATCATGCACCATCAGAGCCAGTGCCCTGTTCTGGCTAACTACTTCAAGCCACAGGAGCACTTGCCCAAGGGACAAATGAGTTGGCCTCAGCAGTAGGTCCTGAAATTGGGAGGGTTCAAACTCCCGGAATGCCTGGGGATGCAATTTAGGACTAGCTATTCTAATCCTGATGACTGCAGACAATATGTGAGAAAAACAAAAGCACAAATGCTCTGATTGAGTTGAAGCTGTGGCTCCAGAGCCCAGTGGAAGCTGAATGCAGCTTCTCTCCAAATACAATCACTTCCACAAAGGGAGTGCCTGGACACACCATTTGGAGGAAAACTGAATGAAAAAAAAAAAATCACTGCTCTAGACTGATCCTCTTGTTTTAGAGATGGAAAAACAGGCTGAGTGAACACAGATGTGGCAGAGTTCCTCAAAGCGGCTTTTCTGGCAGAAACCTAAATAGAAAATTTATTTTAAAGCACTTTTTAAGATAAATACATGAGATATATATTATATATATAACATATAAAAAATATAAATAAATATATAACATAATTTATATATAAATTTGTGATAATGTATATATTTGTATATAATGTATAATAAAATATATAATAAAATTTATGTTTATTATACATATAATATATGCATTATATATCATATAAATGTATATATGATATATACTGTATATATGATATATATGTATATCATATTTGATATATACAAATATACATTATATATCATATAAATGTATATATATTTGTGTATATATATCATATAAATGTGTGTATATATTTGTATATATATTATATATCATATATATCATAAAAATATATAAATATACATATTTGTATATACATAATGTATATATTTGTATATACATTATATATCATAAATTTATATAAACATAAATTTTATTATATATTTATTATATATAAATGTATTTATATATACATTATACATCATATACAAACAAATTTTATTATACATTATATATAAATAATTTTATATCTGTCACTTAATTTTTTTAGTTTAAAAATGATTTTTAAAATTTAAATTAACATAGTTTTATTTGTATGTATTCATGTGGTACAAGTGCAATTTTGCAACACTAATATATTGCACTGTGATGAAGTCAGGGCCTTCTGTGCATCCATCACTGGAGCAACATCCATCACTTTTGTTTGGTGATGATAAAAAGTTGCATCACCAAGCAACCTTTTATCATCTACTCCCTTCTTGCCCTTCTTATTACTCTGAGTCTCCATTGTCTATCATTTCTTTGTTTCATTTTAAAATACCATAAAAGGGAACTTTTTTGGATGTACAGTTCTGAGTTTTGACACATACTTAGTTTTATGTAACCGTAACCACAGTCAGAATCCAGGGCAGTTCCATCACCCTGAAGTATTCCCTCATGCTTCCCCTTTGTAGGCAAGCTCTCACCCTACCCCAGCCTCTGGCAAACACTGACCTATTCTCCTTCCCTATGGATTTTCTTTTTCCAAGATGTCACATAAATGTCATAATGCATAATGTGACCTCTGGAGACTGGCTTCTTTCACTGATTACAGTGTCTTTGTGATTAACCCATATTGCTACTTTTTGGTGATGTTCCATTTTATGAATGTACCACAGTTGTTCACTTGATGAAGGATATTTGGGTTGTTTCCTATTTTTGGTGATTACGAATAAAGGTGCTATAAACTTGACTGTGAAAAAAGCTGCTATAAATGTGAAAGTCATATTAAAACAAAGGTAATATATACTCAAAATTCATTACTTCCTTGTGATTTACCTAAATTTTATAGTGTCTGTGCCAAGGTTATTTTATATCTATTGTATCTGTATGGTAGAAATGCTATATAAAATGCTGTGATACCGAGGATCTCTTCAACTCCCAGTGCAGTCATATTGATAGTTCGAAGTCATCCATGGTTGGAATATTTACACCATAGAGACTGGCAAGTGCTACACATCAGGACCTATCTGCCCCAACCCACACCCCCAGTAGTGGTTAAACATCTCATAGCACACTACTGATTCTGATAACAATGACAGTGTATACCAGGAACTTTAGAAAAAGAATCCAGTAAATATGCCCTATGACTATGGACACCGTGTGATAAGGTTAGTCTTTGTGTCCCCACCCAAATCTCATCTTGAATTGTAATCCCCATAATTGCCATGTGACAAGGGAGAGACCAGCTGGAGGTAACTGAATCCTGGGGGTGGTTTCCCCTATGTTGCTCTCCTGTAGTTAGTGAGTTCGTATGAGATGTGATGGATTTATGTGTTTGACAGTTCCTCCTTCACATGCTCTCACCTGCCACCATGTAAGACGTGCCTTGCTTCCCCTTTGCCTTCTGCCACAATTTTAAGTTTCCGGAGGCTTCCCCAGCCATGCTGAACTGTGAATCAATTAGACCTCTTTTCTTTATAAATTATCCAGTCTTGGGCATTTCTTTATAGCAGTGTGGAAACAGACTAATACTCTGTGTATGCTGAAAGTTCAATGTCAGCTATGATTTTAGTGAGCAGTTCATTAAATATGCATAATTAAATGTGATTTACAATTTTAACTTATATATAATTTTACCTATTACTAAGATCCTAAGTCCGAAAAACTTTTGCCAGTCTGCATATTGTATTGCTGCATTTGTTTTTGAAATTCATGTTATTGAACCTCAGAGGAAAACATAACTATTTGGAAGAGTACAATGTTGATAGTTGGTAAACATTTGCAAACCATTTATTTGGGCCAGATCAGGGATAAAATGACAAGATACTCTGTGAAGCTTGGAGTTGGCCAGGTTTTTAGCTTGCTGTGATCTGATGAAATATTTTAGTTTAGTTTTTTTTTTTTTTTTTGTTATGCACTAGTGCTGCAGGCATTAGCTGAAAATGAATTAAAAGGCCTCAGAAATAGTGATTCTGCAGCCAGGTATTAGAATAGAATTAATTATCTGGATGTGTTTGCAAATAGAATTGGTCCTCCTACCTATTTGTTTCCATTTCAGCCTAAGAGGTAGGTGGGAATCTACTTAATACCCTTTAAGGATTTGACCCCTCTGCCTATGTGGCTTCTGATTCAGAATCATATTTAAAATCCATTAAAGGAAAACCATACATAAAAGCAAATATAACAAAGGAAAAATATAACTTCGCAAAATGATTAGAAACTATTTATTTACATTGTGTCAACAAATAAATTGACTCATGGTTGTAATCCCAGCACTCTTGGAGGCTGAGGTGGGTGGATCACGAGGCCAGGAGTTTGAGACCAGCCTGGCCAACATAGTGAAACCCTGTCTCTACTAAAAAAA